GGGGAGGAGGAAGGTGCGTTTCATCATCATCACATCGTCCTCGTTTTTTTGGAGCAGAACTTGGACCAGCACCCGCATAGTAGGAGTAGTTGTTGATGTCAAAAATTGATCTAACGCTTCGCAGTGGTGCAATCACTAGAGGAAGAGGACCGCCGGCATTCATGATGTGGGTTTCATCATATGGTTCTGGTTTGACTGGACCAGTAAGAGGGATGGCTCTTGTGATGTAGGTTTCATCATATGGTTCTGGTTTGATTGGACGACCAGACATAGGGCCGGCCCTTGTGATGTGGGTTTCTTCATATGGTTCTGGTTTAATTGGACCAGTACTGGGACCAGCATCTGCATCATAAGAACCCTTGTTGGAAGCATCGAATGGAACAATGCTTAGAAGCGGTGCGACCAATACAGGAGGGGGTACTGTTGATGATGTTGTGTTCTCGGCCTGTTCATCTTCATAATAGCCTATGAAACTTGAGAATGATGTTGCCTTGATCGGAGTGAGACCATCCATTGCAAATCCTAGCATCATACAAAAACAAGATGTCAAAGACTAGTCAAAATTAAACAAGTAGACATGATGATACATTTTATTTTAGCCAAAGGTTGCGAAGAGTTAACTAACAATTAAACAAAAAACGTTGTTTTTTTTTGTTTTTCTTTTATTTAATAATAAAGAAATAAAGAAACGGCTGTTTTAATAAATGAAAGAGTCGCACTCACTCACACTATTATTAATGCTCTATAAACTACAAAAAGCTTTCCTGACAACTATGGAACCCTAAAAGAATCAAGTTTTTAGAGACGCTATTGAAACAAGAACACAACAAAGCAACATCTCTTAAGTTCTTTTTTAATCTCTAAAGGCAACAAGGGGTAAGATGCATTATTGAGACTCGGTTCTGAGACTTTAACTGATTCTTATCAAGCCACAAAAAAAGAAAGACTTGAACTCATGTATACCTATATAATTAGGGTTTTAAAACATAGTAGAGGAGAGAGATGTTCAAAACTATTGTTTGACAAGATTCAAACCACATATTCTTGTTCAATTACATAACAACATGTTCAGATCTGAATTCTATAGACATATATCTCTTGGATTCAAAAGAACTCTCATAAATCAGATCTCTTCACAAACAAAGAGATAGAAGAAAAAATAAATCTTGTGTAAGAAATATCATGCATATATATAACAAATATAAATCTAATCTCAATTCCGACAACAACAAGAACAAAATCAAATAACATAAAAAAAAAAAAGTCTATCTACTCTAACCTTTCGTCCCGACAACAAATATCAAAGTAAATAAAACAATCACAGCTTGAACATAAAATTAAAGTGCGTATGAAGATAATCCTCAACAAGAAAACAATAAAATAGTGGAACAGCAAATTAAATCAAATCAGCAAGTACCTTGACAAGCCGAGAAGTGAGATCTAGGTTACAAAAACAAGGAGCGGAATAGAAACAAGAAGCTGGAGACACACAAAAGGGAGAAGACGAAAATGGTTGAAAAGCAGCAATTCTAAAATATTTGGTTTTTTGTATCTGAGGGTGTGGTAGAGAGCAAAGAGATAATCTCTATTTAACAGTGAATTAGATGATGTGTTAAGATAAACGAGTGTATAATAGCCGTTAGATGGATATTACATATAATCTCGACCGTAGAATATTTTAGTCATTAAAATCCCTAGATTTTTTTTGACTACACATTAATTTTAAAAACACTTTTGCCTAAAAATAATAATTACCATAAATGTAAAAATATCTTTATTTACCTTCAAAAAATATTTTTTCTACATATGATTATTCAACTATTTTGAAAACGTTGAATAGCTATTTTGGTTCAATGCACCCAGAATATTGACCCATATGATTAAATCTTGGGTCATTATACGTTGAATATGACTTCAGATGATATTTTCATTTAATTTAAACGAATTACATATATTCAGAAAGTTTATTATAAACTCTTTTTTTTTTGGTAAGGAATTTATTATTAACTTTGAATAATCTTAAAGATCATTAGAACTTGTATGCGTCTCATAGATAGCAAAGTCATTATGATTACAAAATGTATTCGACATTGCAATTAGACACAAAATTGAGACGCAAACGAGAAGTAGACGAAAAAAGTCAGTAGGCCAAATACTCAAGTCAAGTCATATATGGGTATGTTATGTTGAAAATGAAAAGCTTGCATTATATAGAAAAGCCATTCTTCGATAATATATGTTCAAGACACATGACAGTACACATCACTTTGCTGCATATATGTACAACCTAATCTATGAATATATATATTCGATTATATATGTTCAAGCTATAATATGTTATTGTATATGTTCAAGAAAAGCCATTCTTCGATTATATATGTTCAAGAAAAGCCATTCTTCGATTATACATGTTCAAGCTATAATATGTTATTGTATATATGTACAACCTAATCTATGAATACGAAGCACTTGTTGCAGTTCTTCCCTTATATATACCATGGATTTGTGCTAACGCATTCGCATACAAACCAATTTGGCTTAAGTACGTATATGATGAAGTTGTTAAATGGATAAATATTGACATTTTGCTGCAACAAAAGTGGAGAAATTTAGGTAGATAAGTTTGGTCATAATATTAACATAGCATTTTCCCAGATTTGTTAATTATACTTAGGAACTAGCTGTTTTAGCTTTACTTAAAGTGTTTGACAAACTTAACTAGAGTAATGCAAGAGCCAATAGATGCTAATATTGCTAAGTATCTTTGTATGTAAACCGACAAAATCAAAAGTAAGAAGTAATGAAGTATAACATGATCTAGGGAGGATTTTTGGGGTATCTTTAACCGAAAAGGAGTAACAATGCTACTCTGAAGCAATAGTGATATTAAGGTAATGCAACAAAGATGTTGCCTGCAGGACTAGAGTAATCAGGATTTTGATCCTGATAAATTTAAGAAACTTGTTTTCTATTTTTGTTGCCCACGTGTTTGCTCTCGTATTTAGTATATGACTAAAAAAAATTATAAATAGGAAACAAGTTTTTTAAATTTATCGAAAAATATGAGAACAAACACATGGACTACAAGATAGTTTTATACATATGTAAAAAGTGCAATTAGTATACGATAAACGACACTAATTAATAGGAACGAGATTCTTAAATTGATTAAAAAAAATAGAAAAGGAAACAAGTACACTACAAATGATCATGCACACGTGTGAAAAGGATTAAGATAGAAGACACTAATTAATAGGAAACAATTTTTTTTTTTAATTTTATCGAAAAATAAAAGAGCAAACACGTGCGCTATAAAATAGTCATGCACACATAAAAGAACATGTGTTACAACATTAAAAGAAACTCATGCATACTTTGTGTTTAGGATTGAAAACTGATGCATATATGTATCATATATATATATATATATATATATATATATATATATAAATTATAACATGAAAAAATTTCATCACCTCTGCCGATTTAAGCTAATTATATATATGTATATTCCAGGATACATATGTACTATAAAGCTCATTTTCATAACTGTATTTTAACACAGATATACCGTAAATCATATTACACTGATCATATCTTTAACATTATCATGGTATTATAAATATCTAACATGTGAGCTGAAGACTTAAATTGATTTGATTTGGGAAGTCGATGAAGTAAAGTAAACTAACTAGAGTCTAGATTATGATCCAACCATTGTCACCAATTATGTTTTTTTTTTTTCTTTTGGTAAAATTTTCACCAATTATGTTGGACCTTACTTCATAGACATCCAACATAATTTACTAATTAACTCCTTAATTAAGAAATGTTATAATATATCCTCAGCAACCGCCTGAGTCACCTAAGCCAACCACATAAAATAACCTTGAAAACACACAAAAATTTTCGTCTTATATTTGCTATTTTATTTTGATTCTGACACACAAATAATCTCAGTTTAGGTAAACCTCAGAAGGTATGAATCTTTATCCCACTTCTGTAAGTTCCCATGGCTTCGCTTCCGCGGGTTTTGGGGGCTATTTTTGCTGGAAACTTTCCTGATTTATTTGCTTAAAGTTGTGTAGGCGAGAGATATTGGAAGCAATATGTGGCTGTTAACAATGATGATGCTACGAAACAGATATTTAGTCGTTGTCTGTTGACCTGCCTTCAAGTTCCTCTTTGGTATGAGATGCTTTGAGTCAATTTAACATCTTTCTTATGTCGAGCCTCTTGCTTAGCTATCTCCTTGAATGTAATTCAAACTTCTTATTCTCTTAGGCAATGTTACATTCGGTTCATCAGAAAGGTCTACAACAAGAAATGAGCAGAGGGTCAAGAGGAGATCGCAAAGGCTTTCGAGTTTATGCTTAACTATATTGGTATCCCTTCTCTTCAGGAGTTTGGCTCTATTTTTTAATTTCCATCATTTCAATCTTGTGTACATATCTGATAAATAAAGGGGGAAATTTTGCCTGTGAGTAATGGAAACAGTTATGTTTAGTAAAAGATATGATTTTGATCAAATTCATGCTTAATATAGTTGTTTACTCTTGACATGATTGTGTATGTTATATTGTTGTAAGTTGGGTTACATTAGATAATGTTAGTTTGGTTAAGAGGCAGGAAATAATAGTTTGGGATCAATGATTACTGTAAAAAGGATATGCGTATTACTTTGATCAAGTAAATACGTTGTGTCTCAAATCTATTTAAACTTCTTGTATGTTCTTATAAAATGTGGTGTGTGTACATTTTCTGTTGTTGAAACATTGTTGAGTCAGACAAACACCATATTCTGTTGAAACCCTTGTTCCTTATCACATTTCATGACACTTCAGTGTGACATAAGAAATGGTTTATTGATTCATTTTCTATGCATTATCTTATATTTTTACTACAGTGAAAATCCATGATAAGGGTCTCTTTCACGGGTAGTGTGTCAGTCCTTGGAGAAATAGTATTGTATCACGGATATTGATATCCATTAGCAATAACAACACACAAAGTTAAGATAACGTTTCTTCTTAACTTTACCTTATAATGCGACATGTGTCGCTCTATGCTTCTGACATGTGTCATTTTTATAGTGAGATTCATAGAGATTAGAACATCCTCATTGGAGGGTCCTTAGGGCTTATATCTCTTTGGTAAATCTTACCCCTAAGGACCCTCCAAGGCTCCAATGAGGATGCCCTTATATATTGGGGTGTTACAAGAGATTTTTAGAACAAAAAAGGATTTAAAAAAAAATGAAGACGTAAAAAATACAATGATGGAACAGCCTCCTACACTCTAACAATGACGGACCGGTGGATAACGTGGAGCTGAACATGGTGGTGTCGGACATGCATGGACTAAGAGAGGCGCCGTGGCGAACGTGCAAGAGGTGGACTAAGAGAGGGGTGGTGATGGACGTGGAGGCCAGGATGCTGAAGAATATAAATGGGTTCCAGGATGCTGAAGAATATAAATGGATGCAGATCTATGTTCACTCACTCCCTATGATGGCAATGAAGTTGCGGTGAAGCGTCTGAGGGAGAAAACAACCAAAGGAGTCAAAGAGTTTGAAGGAGAAGTCACAATTTTAGGCAAGATTCGTCACCAGAATCTATGATCCAATATCTCCCAAAATCACTGTTATGGGATTTTTAAAAAGATTTTATTTTGTTTCCAATAACATTAGATTTTATATGATTTTTACAAATTGTTATTTGAATAACAAGAGATTGTGAGTGATTTTAATTGATTTTATAAATGTCCATTTTCAATAACATAAGATTTAGGAAGAGATTTGTAAATTACAAGTTGAATAACAGAGGATTTTAAAAAAATTCCAAAATCTTCTAAAATCATGGTTTGAATACAACCCCCTTAATTTCTAATCTAACATTTCAATTTTGTTTTTCATGATATTGTGTTGTAAGTTATATGTTATATGTATAGTTTGCTTTTTAAAAAGTTTGATTGTTGCAAAAAATATGTTTTTCTAATTTAGTTTCTAATTAAATTAAATATCATATAAGGTAAACATAAAATGGAGTTGTTATAATTTGTTCTTCAAAGAAAATTGCTATGACTTCTTTTTCCTACTCCTTTAAAGATACCTTTTTAAAGTTATTAATATGGGTAATAAATTATTTATAACATAGTTTCTAATTTTAAAAAGTTAATTTTTTTTTATTTAACACATCTTCTTCATTCATTGATTCAGAAACTTATACAAGAGTTGATCATTAGATATACAACAATACTGAGCAAATCAAAATACACATCGATAAATACATAACCAATCAATAACAAGAACGATAGAGAAGCAAATTTCCACGATGCTTTTGGTATCAAAGCCTTACTCGCCAACAGATTATTAAATCTGTTTCTTTCCCTCTCTAGAATCAATCCCAAAAAAATGAGATTGTCGTTCTTGGCTATCTTCTCATGGAGGAAACTCCATAGTTGTCCAATAATAACGATGATGCTCAACATCTCCTCTTGCGTTAGTTCGTCTACTCTCTGT